TGGCGCAAAAAAGTACGCAGAAATATTTTTCTTTTTTATACATTCAACAATTTGTTTGTTTGCATGGGAATTACCCGCAACAATTGCAACTAAACTACAAACAGGCAATTGTTMAAGAGCAAAGAGAAAGCCAGTARGCGCTGTGCGACGCGAAGCAAACGCAAGAGAGAGCAATTATGCGACCAACTCGCTGTTGGGGAGAGAGATAGTAGCTTTAACCGCTTACTCGTTATATGCTGTTGACGATCGTTGCTCGCAACACACACACACACGCATACACACTCTATGTGCGTAGTTGTTGCCAATTGCTGCGGCTGTCGATTGGTGGTAATGTTGGCTTTGYTTGAATTCGCTGGCTGCCGGCGACCACGCTAGGCCCCACACAGCGCAGGCTCATATAAAATCGCGTAGCATAACCGCAACGAGTTCAGTTTGTCTGCAAACATCAACCATAAAGTGACTTAGCGAGGAAACCAAAAACAAATTCAAAGTTTCTAGAAAGCAATAAATTAAAAAAAAAAAACAAAAAACATTTTTTGAGTGAAAATTTTCAAAAAAACTACAGAAGATAGTGAAAATCATTCAGTTACTTTTAAGATAAAGACTTTGAAAGTTAAAAAAAATCTAAAACAATGCAACACCAAAGTGCCAACAACAACAACAACAAACGCCTGTTTATGCTGCGTTACGCCTGCAGCTTTGCCTGCTTACTCTCACTGCTACTGCTGCTCACCAGCTACGCACCAACAGTGGAGGCGCGTCCCATGGACTTGTACGACGATGTCGGCGATTTCTTCGATGCCGTCTCACTGGACGATGTGCCCGTCTCRGGGCGCACAGCACCGGAAACCTTCTGCCGCATGCCGATACGCAAGGGCGTCTGCCGTGCGCTCATACCGCGCTTCAGCTACGATCCCAGCCGCAAAACTTGTGTGGAGTTCAAATTCGGCGGCTGCGACGGCAACGAGAACAACTTCTCCAGCTATGAGGCGTGCATGGCCACGTGTGAGGGCATGTAAATCTGTGTGTGTTTGTGTATATAAACGCCGCTTAAGTGTAGAAATGTTCCTCATACGCCCTGAAATTGCCAATTGCAGGCTCCAAGCATCACATCCCAACGCATCATCATTTTTAATAACGGTTATTTGTATATTTGACCAGCTCAAGCAATAAGTTTATGGCGCTTCCATTAAACGTGTTCATGGCATTTATTTACATACTTTTAGTTGTTAGTGTATTTTATTTTTGTAATTTTATGTATACAAACGCAACTTCAATGCACCAACGCACATTTTCCATTGGCTTAAAAGTGAAATTTAATTTCATTTCAATTTTTGTGATAAATTTTGGTTTATAGCTGTTAAGTTTTAATTTTTTTTATTTTTTCTTATTTTTTTTTTCAAAGTGAAAGTCGTAGAAATTCTTAGTTTATTTTCAAATTGCTTTATCTTTTTAAGAAATCCACTTAAAAATTACACAATGGCACTCATATTATTTATTGTATTTGCTATATGTATATGTATTCTAAAATATTATATTTTGTAATATTTAATACACATCTGAGCCTTCAAAGATGGTCGAGAGATCGTTGAAGA